GGGGCGTGCAGGCTGCGAGCGCCGCCCGGGGCGACAGGGAGGCGGGGCAAGCCACCTGTCAGCGCGGCGGAGCCGTGGCCCGACCTCACCTGGACCTGGAGCGCGCGCCGGAGGGGTCGGGGCACCGGAGGGCGCTGCGCCGCGTCTCCCGGAGGCTGCCCCGTGCTTCCTGCTAGTCTCCAAAGTAGAGGATTGGGTAAAAATACCCCAGACCTAAAAACCGCTGTGCCTTCTAAAGCGAGCTGAGTGTTCACAAGGAGGATTTAGATGACCAAATCCGGGCGATCGCAAAGCCAAACCTGAGTCCTCCAACATTTTCTCCGGCTTCTGAGCCCTGCCTGCTCTTCTGAATACAATACTGTGAAGATAGAGCATCTTGAGTACAATTCCACTAGGTAACACTTCCGTCTTTCAGCTCCTGCCAGTGTCCCTGGAATTTCAATCTTTTCTTGCTTGCTGCCTCGGATTTAGTCTCTGCAGCGTGTAGGTAGTGGCCGCACCTGCTAAGGTACCGAGAAGGGTCTTGTGGAGCTGCGAAGTTTTAGGTGTTTCTCTTTCCATAGTTTTAACCGACCAGGAAAGATATCTGCATCATTTAACGGACATTTTGCCCTATTTGGGAAACAGGAATTCTGGAGTCAGTGTTTTGCTTTTGCTTTGTTGCATTACCATAGAGGCAGGGAGGCTTGAGAGATCATTTCCCGGCGCGGCTCTCAGTGACCAAGTCCTCAGTAGTGACTTCCACCCGAGGAGGGAAAATGTGATCTAGCTGGGGGAGTGCCTGTGCCGTACAAAGCAGGGCGTCCCCATCGGGGACTTCTGGAAGTCCCCAAGGTGAATGTGAAAAGGGAAAACTGAAGAAATCTCAGAAACTTATTGTCACCTGCGGCTTATTAAAGGAACTCAAAAGCTGAAAAACAAAACCAAAAAACCCACCCCCCGGGCAAGTAGCGACTCTACTTACGCTGCGGAAAGAAAATAGCGCCATCTAGTGGAAGAACTCTTCATCCAGGGATAGAAGGCTGACCAGGACGAGTGGCCCTTCGCAGGACTTGGATTGCCGAGGCCTCCTTTGCCCTGATAAAAGAGGAGTGTAGGAAAGAAAGGGAAGCCGTGTGGATTTTTGTTCGACAGGAACCAATGCCGAGTTATTATTTATAGTTAAAAAAGAGCCGGGCGTGGTGGCGCACGCCTGTAATCCCAGCACTCAGGAGGCTGAGGCAGGAGGATCACTGCGAGATAGAGACCAGCCTCGGCTACAAAGTGAGCTCAAGACCAGCCTGAAATGTATAGCGAGACTCTGTCTCAAAAACACAGAAAAAAAGGTTAAAAAATGGTAACGAGTATTCAGCAGCCGTATCATTTGAAACCGGAATGAAAATACCCTTTCTCGAAAGGATAAAGGAAAAATAATAATAATTTTTAAAAAGAAAGGATAAGGAAGATATTGCTGTCTGTGATCATTTTTTTCCTTTTTATTCCGTTAAAAAATTATCTGCGCTTCCTTTGAGCCAGGGACCAGGTTAGCCAGGGCCTGCTGAGTCCTCGCCTAGAACCCTGTGAAAGGAGTCTTAGCCAAAAGGTGCTCTATGAACAAACTATGAATCCGCTATCTGGTGAATTAATGTTCGCAACATCCGTTTGCTTCTGTCCTCCTGGCAAGGAAAGACATTGGTGACTTTTGGCCACGTAACTCCCAGGTTTCAAAGATTACTAACTGCAGAAAAATCAGTACCATATTTATAAATCACTGCTCAGGGATCTAGAGATTATTGTATTGAGAGGAATCCTGAGGAGTCCATGTCTCTATGGTTTAAATTCCTATTCTTCTAGCAGTAAAAAGATAGAATAAATATGTTGGCTAGAGAGGCATTAAAGCTGTTCCATTTAACTCTTACCATAGTAGTAAAAGTATTAAAATCTGAACATATAGGTAACTCACAATGAATACTAATTACCTTCAATCCACTCATTCAGTTAGAATATACTAAGTACTTACTGTGTGCCAGGACATCAAGAAGAGATAATAGGCCAAGCATGGTGATGCACACCTATAACCCCAGCACTAAGGAGGCTGAGGCAGGAGGATCACTTCGAGTTTGAGGCCAGCCTGGCCTACATAGTGAACTCAAGGGCAGCCTGAACTACACAGTGAGACCCTGTCCAAATAAAAAAAAAAAGATGAGATGATAAAGACAGATGAGTATCTTTTATCTAATAAATGCCCATGTGACATTTATCTATATACATATCAGATATATAATTAATATAGAAGGAAAATATATAAGCAAAACTCACACATTTATTACAAATGTGTCACAGGAAAAAATGTAAGAAGATCGCACCAAGGTGATAACTACAATGCTATTTTCTAGATGGTAGAATTACTGAGGATTTTTGTCCTATTTTTCCATATTTTCTAGTTTCCCTACTATAAGTTAATGCTGCCCGAGGTCATGGCAAGACCCAAATTAAAGTTGGAAAGTGTCTTAAAGAAACCATGCCAGCCTG